CATAAATTATGTTTTTTCATAAATTTATTAATTCTATTGTATTTACCTATATAATGTCTTGCTCTATGATCCTGAATGCGCCCTTTCTTGATTTCCAGTTTTTTTAAATCTTCACAAATTTTAATTCTAATTTCATCTTTTTCTTCTTTTTGAAGATTACAGTGAAAAATTGCATTTTCAATATCTGCGATAGTATTTACTATTCCACTAGAAAAAGGAAAATTCATACCAGCTCCATATGATAAAAACCGCATATAATCCTCTGGTAGTTCTTTCGATGATAAGTTTTGGACCAGATTTTTCTGCCATTCAACACTTTCTTCTTGTAATGGATAACCAAATAGCTTAAACAATTTAGTATTTTTATTTTTTATGTAATTTTTATTTTTATAAGAATCTAAAATTAAATTTTGATTTAAATCTTTTTTAAGAGACTTAATTTGCTTTGATATAAATCCAATAGATTTACCTTTCTTTCTAATAACTGATTTCAAAATTAATCTCTCTATCTTCCACACATCTTCTCTACAAATATCTTTTCTGATGGATTTCCTCAGTTGAAGTGTTTTTAAAGTGGTTTCTTCTCGTAGATGACATCTGAAGAACTGTACATCTTTAATGTATCTTTCTCTCTGCTCATATAATCTCTCCAACCCTTTATCCGGATCCATCATTCCTAAAAAACTATAATTCCAAAAAAGTTATAAAAATTCAATGGAGTCAGAAAATTTCTTCTTTTGTTTTCTTACATAAAATGTAAAATTACGAAAAAATTATATTTTTCTTTCCTTTCTGACTTTTGGATAATATAAAACTTCAATTTTTCAAAAAAACAAGCCAATAATGACTATAAAATCTTTAAAAAACAGAGTTTAAAAAGGTATAAAAAAGAAAATAATCTGCAGAGAGAAAAAAATTTTTATTTACATCATTACTAACAAGCTTCCCAAATGCATTTCGCCTATGGCCTCTTCAGTGGGGCTTACAGCACAAAATCTACGTTCAAACAGTCAACTCATTGAAGAGCCACTTATACAGTTAACAAAAAACTCCCAGCATGCCGCTGTTAACATTCCGGTATTTAAATTAACATTATTGTTTTGCATAATTATAGCGAAGTGTTCTTTTACCTTTCGCTTTACAATATTTTTTTCCTTAAAAATTATTTTTAATTTATTAATATTAATCTGACAATTATTACTATTACAATGTTGGAAGACAGGAGAATTACTCATTTTCAACCTTACGGCAGCCAAATGTTCCGACAGTCTGATCCTTAATCTTCGTTTTGTTTCACCGACGTAAAAACTAGGATTGTTACACGTGCATTCTATCCGATAAACAACACCTTCTTCTTCTAATATATCTTTAGCATTATTTCTGATGATCATCATATTTGATAACCTGTTATTTAAGGATGGAGCCAATCTAATTAATTTATGATTAAAGAAGTTATTATATTTTTCATAAATACCTTTTATATACGGAAATGATACATACTTTATTATTTCTTGACAACGTTTAACTTTAAACCTGTTTCTTAAAAATCTGTGGAACCAATCATTTAGTAATCTTTTTGGATATCCATTTAAGATGTATTTCTTATGTGTATCTTCAATTTCTTCTTTTCTTTTATCTATATTTGTTGTTCTAGAAAAAATCTTTGTTATTTCCATCAGGTATACATTATATTTTTGATTTAAAGGACAGTATGATCTATAATTAATTACTTTTCTCGTATTACACGGTTTTTCAAATTTACAGTATTCCAAATGATCTTCAAATCTTTTAATTGTTATATCTAAATAACTTAATTGATTATTTAATTCATGCTCTTGAGTAAATTTAATATTCAAATTAATTTTATTAGCTTGTTCCAAAATTTGTAAGTTTGTTGTTAGTGTACTATCGTACACTATTAAAATATCATCGACGTACCTTGCAAAAAACATAACTCCATTTAATGTTGAAAGAATCATGTCCACATCCAGCATATAAATTTCTGCTAATTTCGGTCCTATTACGGAGCCCATCGAAATACCTTCTGTTTGTCGATAAAAGTTCTTTTCCTTCACTGTAAAATAATTATTATCTAATGTGAAAGTAATTAAATCCTTTAAATAATCAGGAACACCATACTTACGTAAACTGCTCAAAATCATATCTTTAGTAATAGAAGGGTACATAGATGTTATATCCAAACTCATCAATTTATAATTAGACAAGATTACACCTTTTTGCAATTTTGTAATTAAATCATCAGCATTTTTAACTGCATATTTCGAAATTTGTATATCCTGTAATATCTTTTTAATAAAGATTTCTAAATTATATAATAATGTGAATCTAAAGTCTATGATTGGTCTACATTTATTTTGTTTATGTGTTTTAATTCTGACAGTTAATTTAGGAATTCTTACGTTTTCCTTTGAAAGTATTTCTTTACTTTGACTCGCCTGGATATGACCTTCTTTCACAAATTTCTTCAATTTTCTTGTTAATGTTCTTTGTATTTCATTAAACGGGTCTTTTTCTAACTTTTTAAAACTTCCTTCAGATATTATTTCTTGTTTCTTATTCTCTAATTCGTATAAATCCATAATCACTATTTGATTTGATTTATCTGCTTTTAACAAACATAAATTATGTTTTTTAATAAATTTATTAATTCTATTGTATTTACCTATATAATGTCTTGCTCTATGATCCTGAATGCGCCCTTTCTTGATTTCCAGTTTTTTTAAATCTTCACAAATTTTAATTCTAATTTCATCTTTTTCTTCTTTTTGAAGATTACAGTGAAAAATTGCATCTTCAATATCTGCAATCGTATTTACTATTCCACTAGAAAAAGGAAAATTCATACCAGCTCCATATGATAAAAACCGCATATAATCCTCTGGTATTTCTTTCGATGATAAGTTTTGGACCAGATTTTTCTGCCATTCAACACTTTCTTCTTGTAATGGATAACCAAATAGTTTAAACAATTTAGTATTTTTATTTTTTATGTAATTTTTATTTTTATAAGAATCTAAAATTAAATTTTGATTTAAATCTTTTTTAAGAGACTTAATTTGCTTTGATATAAATCCAATAGATTTACCTTTCTTTCTAATAACTGATTTCAAAATTAATCTCTCTATCTTCCACACATCTTCTCTACAAATATCTTTTCTGATGGATTTCCTCAGTTGAAGTGTTTTTAAAGTGGTTTCTTCTCGTAGATGACATCTGAAGAACTGTACATCTTTAATGTATCTTTCTCTCTGCTCATATAATCTCTCCAACCCTTTATCCGGATCCATCATTCCTAAAAAACTATAATTCCAAAAAAGTTATAAAAATTCAATGGAGTCAGAAAATTTCTTCTTTTGTTTTCTTACATAAAATGTAAAATTACGAAAAAATTATATTTTTCTTTCCTTTCTGACTTTTGGATAATATAAAACTTCAATTTTTCAAAAAAACAAGCCAATAATGACTATAAAATCTTTAAAAAACAGAGTTTAAAAAGGTATAAAAAAGAAAATAATCTGCAGAGAGAAAAAAATTTTTATTTACATCATTACTAACAAGCTTCCCAAATGCATTTCGCCTATGGCCTCTTCAGTGGGGCTTACAGCACAAAATCTACGTTCAAACAGTCAACTCATTGAAGAGCCACTTATACAGTTAACAAAAAACTCCCAGCATGCCGCTGTTAACATTCCGGTATTTAAATTAACATTATTGTTTTGCATAATTATAGCGAAGTGTTCTTTTACCTTTCGCTTTACAATATTTTTTTCCTTAAAAATTATTTTTAATTTATTAATATTAATCTGACAATTATTACTATTACAATGTTGGAAGACAGGAGAATTACTCATTTTCAACCTTACGGCAGCCAAATGTTCCGACAGTCTGATCCTTAATCTTCGTTTTGTTTCACCGACGTAAAAACTAGGATTGTTACACGTGCATTCTATCCGATAAACAACACCTTCTTCTTCTAATATATCTTTAGCATTATTTCTGATGATCATCATATTTGATAACCTGTTATTTAAGGATGGAGCCAATCTAATTAATTTATGATTAAAGAAGTTATTATATTTTTCATAAATACCTTTTATATACGGAAATGATACATACTTTATTATTTCTTGACAACGTTTAACTTTAAACCTGTTTCTTAAAAATCTGTGGAACCAATCATTTAGTAATCTTTTTGGATATCCATTTAAGATGTATTTCTTATGTGTATCTTCAATTTCTTCTTTTCTTTTATCTATATTTGTTGTTCTAGAAAAAATCTTTGTTATTTCCATCAGGTATACATTATATTTTTGATTTAAAGGACAGTATGATCTATAATTAATTACTTTTCTCGTATTACACGGTTTTTCAAATTTACAGTATTCCAAATGATCTTCAAATCTTTTAATTGTTATATCTAAATAACTTAATTGATTATTTAATTCATGCTCTTGAGTAAATTTAATATTCAAATTAATTTTATTAGCTTGTTCCAAAATTTGTAAGTTTGTTGTTAGTGTACTATCGTACACTATTAAAATATCATCGACGTACCTTGCAAAAAACATAACTCCATTTAATGTTGAAAGAATCATGTCCACATCCAGCATATAAATTTCTGCTAATTTCGGTCCTATTACGGAGCCCATCGAAATACCTTCTGTTTGTCGATAAAAGTTCTTTTCCTTCACTGTAAAATAATTATTATCTAATGTGAAAGTAATTAAATCCTTTAAATAATCAGGAACACCATACTTACGTAAACTGCTCAAAATCATATCTTTAGTAATAGAAGGGTACATAGATGTTATATCCAAACTCATCAATTTATAATTAGACAAGATTACACCTTTTTGCAATTTTGTAATTAAATCATCAGCATTTTTAACTGCATATTTCGAAATTTGTATATCCTGTAATATCTTTTTAATAAAGATTTCTAAATTATATAATAATGTGAATCTAAAGTCTATGATTGGTCTACATTTATTTTGTTTATGTGTTTTAATTCTGACAGTTAATTTAGGAATTCTTACGTTTTCCTTTGAAAGTATTTCTTTACTTTGACTCGCCTGGATATGACCTTCTTTCACAAATTTCTTCAATTTTCTTGTTAATGTTCTTTGTATTTCATTAAACGGGTCTTTTTCTAACTTTTTAAAACTTCCTTCAGATATTATTTCTTGTTTCTTATTCTCTAATTCGTATAAATCCATAATCACTATTTGATTTGATTTATCTGCTTTTAACAAACATAAATTATGTTTTTTAATAAATTTATTAATTCTATTGTATTTACCTATATAATGTCTTGCTCTATGATCCTGAATGCGCCCTTTCTTGATTTCCAGTTTTTTTAAATCTTCACAAATTTTAATTCTAATTTCATCTTTTTCTTCTTTTTGAAGATTACAGTGAAAAATTGCATCTTCAATATCTGCAATCGTATTTACTATTCCACTAGAAAAAGGAAAATTCATACCAGCTCCATATGATAAAAACCGCATATAATCCTCTGGTATTTCTTTCGATGATAAGTTTTGGACCAGATTTTTCTGCCATTCAACACTTTCTTCTTGTAATGGATAACCAAATAATTTAAACAATTTAGTATTTTTATTTTTTATATAATTTTTATTTTGTAGATACTGAAAGAAATTATATTTATAGAGGTTAAATAGAATATTATTATTTTTTCTAAACATTTAATTAATAAATGTTGTGTGTTTAATAATATATCCGATTTTTCATAAAATAGCATTATTGATATTCAACAAATCTTTTATAAAATGTAATAATAAATATTTTATTTTCTAGAATTTGTATATTTTAAAAAGTTATCTTAAAATGTAAAAATTCCGAAAAAGGCTTCTATGGGAGCAGCCGGATATGATATGTTTTGTGTTAATGGATTTGAAATTAATCCGAATGAACAAAAAGTAATATTTACAGATTTAGCTATAGAAATGCCAAATAACTGTTATGCTAGAATTGCCCCAAAATCTTTTTTTATCTCTAAATAACATTATAATTAATACGGGAGTTATCGATTGTGACTATCGTGGAAACATTGGAGTCTTAATGTATAATTTTGGACCAGAAATTATTATTTTTGAACCTGGAACACCCATCACATAATTAATATTTGAAAAAATTATGCATTCAACTTTTTTAGAAACAGATTCATTAGACATCACTGACAGAAATGAAAAAGGCTTCGGAGAATGTACCGTATTGCCTTTTCCCAAAAAGAATGTTTTGAAGACTAATGAAATTCTCTTTTCTCAAAAAGAAGGTTTGGGAGACTGTAATGAAAATTAACTTGTCTGTACTCAATTATTACTTGAATTATTTTGTATTGAATTTTAAATCTGTATTCAAATAAACAAATATTATAAATGAATTGTTTATTTCTTTTTAAACAATTCACAATCTCTTATCAACTGGGAAACCTTTTCACCATTAAAAGATAATACTATTCGTCATTTTAAAAATTATATTAATTGGGGTATCGTCAGTCAACGATGTGATTTATCTAACACGTTTTTTTCAGAATTTGCGGATAAGTTAAATTGAAAATACATATGAAAAATTACAAATTCACAGTCTTGTTTATCATACAACATATTGATTATGCAAAATGGGATTTAATCTGCCAATACCAGCAATTAAATGAACAATTTCTAACCAATTTTTCAGACCATCTTGATTGGAATAAAGTTGCGAAATTTCAAACTCTTTCAGACAATTTTATTGTTATCTTCATGCATAGATTTGATATTTAAAAAATTTTAAATACCAACAATTAAATACAAAGAATTTACCTGAATTAGAAAATGACTTAAACTGGAATTTTGTTTCTCGCTACCAAAAACTTGACCAACAGTTTATTGACAATTTCCAATGTCAACTGTCTTGGTGTCACATTATAAAATATCAAAAATTAGATTGAGATTATATTATTCGTAATCACGAAAATATATCGCTGTTCCTACTTAAAGAAATATGCATTACTTTAAATAAACTGAAGGAAAAAGTGCAATCACTTAATTAAATTGGTGTTCAATTTGAACATTATTTTTAATATGAACAGAATTGTTTCTATTTGAACAATATTATAATATAAAATGTTATTAATATGTATCCTATTATGTAAGTAAATAAACAAATAATATGAAAAAAATTGTTTGTTTCTTTATAATTCAAATACAGTAAAACTTGTCTATGGCGACCACCCATGGTTCCTTCAAAAAGTGGTCTTTTAGACAGGTGGTCGTCCAATACAGGTGGTCCTGTAATAACGTATTCCCGTACGTATTTTGCGCACTTTTTAGCCATTTCTACTAAGCAAAACTCGAGGTGAGCAAAAATAAGCGAATTTTTTTAACGATAGAGCTATATTGGTATTGTATTTTATTCTTATCGGATAATCCGATTTACAGGCGTCGTCACGATATTATAACACAAATTTAATACCAATATTTTAAAGATTAATAGAATAGTCGCATTTTCTCTACTATAATGCACACTTTCTTTTTTCTGACTTAATTAATTCGACTCGGTTCTTATCATTCGCTCCTTAGTTACGTGTATTACGTCATCGATATACAACTGCGTCTTATCATTCCATCACTTTGCTTTCGGTTTTCGTTAGTTTAATCTTATTTTAACTTTAAAAATACTGTATTTTTTAATATTTAATATTTTCTTAATTAATTAAGTACAATAAGAAAAATTATTAATTAATAATAAAACGATTTTATTATTTTTTCTCATTATACAATTTTATTACAATCACGGAATCGAAAAAGGAAATAAAATTGATTTTTGCATTAATGCGTTTATTGTTTTATGAATATTTTGCATGCGAAAATTACTTCGATATTATTTTTCTAAAAATATCGTGAAAATAAGGTAGGTTGATACAGAAACTATTTATCACACACCTACTGTATATAAGCTTCAAAATAAATAATTAAAAATAGATTTTATCAAACGCCGGATATTGCGTTAGCTGGCTGAGTGCCGTTATGGCCGTGGGCAAAGGAGTCGTCCCCAGTCAGTGATGTATTTAACCAAGTAAGGTTATATCTAAATCTAATATACTTCTGGAAGCTAAGACTCGCTCGGGGTCAGGGTGGCGTAACTGGCAAGCGCACCGCATGGCAAGTGGAGGTTGCGGGTTCAAGCCCTGTCCCGAGCCAGTTCTTTTATTCCAGAAGGTTCTAAATTTATTTAATAATTTATTTATTTCATTTTAATTATTAATTTAATTAAGAGATGGCGCCTAACGCCTGCCTCTAATGTCAAATTACTTTATTCCAATCATTTAAGTAGCCATATTATAGCCCGATATTTAGGCGATCGTTTGGTGATGTTGTATCGAATACAATATTTTACAATCCCAAGGAAAATACTGTAGGTCTACGGTAAAATCAATTTCGTTTTCCCACAGTTAAACTTAGCCACTAATTGCTGTTGTGATAACTTTAATACGATCTTCTAACGACAGCACTGCATTTTTTAACAAACTGAAATGAATTTCCTTTGTTGCTAGACTAATTTATTAACACCTGCATCTAATTTCGAGGGTGGGAGAAATGCCCGGGATGGGTTCGAACAAGAGTTTAGACTAATTCATTATATTAGGAGGGGGAAACGTTGTTGAGATGGGATTTTACAATAGTTTTGACCAGATACATTCGCGAAAGTGGTCGCTTATTACAGGTATTGTATGTTGTTTCAGACCGAAAATCGATGCCCGCGGTCGCGTGTCAAAAATTTGCCCGTTTTACAAGTGCTCGTTGAATGCAGGTGGTCGCCTAAGCAGATTTCACTGTATTTGTAATAAACTTTTTATTGATAAATTTTAATTTGTGATCAGAAATTCAAGTTATTTGACACCCCAACCTAATATTTCATCAAATATTAAAATATAGGGGAGATCGGGGCAAGATCGGCATGTTAAGCTTTACTTAAATTTTGTGTAATAAATACTGCTGTAAACTGAAAAAAAAGCTTTNAATTTTCAGAATAACTCATTATTAAAACGAATTTTATCAATGCAACTTAATATTATTTCATATTTTAAAATTTCTTTGAGTAAAAATTAATTTTGTGATTATAAAAATAATTTCAGTGTTAAAATACTTCAAGAAAATTTATAATAAAACTTTTTATTGAAAATTTAATCAGAACAACTTATTATTAAAACAAATTTTATCAAATTATTTATTATTAAAAATTATTATATACTTGAGTAAAAATTAATTTTGTGATTAGTGCCACCTAGGGTTTCTCATTTCCCGGTCTTTTGCTTTTCCCGGGATTCTGGGATAAAAGTTAACTGTTTCCCGGGATAGAATTAATTATTTTTAAGGTATACAAAATATCTAGAAATCAAATGATATAATCATTTTCTATTATTTAAAGTAATTTTAAAGTTCTGTAACCTCCAAAATCATATTAATAATGCTGTGTAAGGTATATAATAAAAATTACCTTTGAATTACGTAGAAATTTTCAGAAATAGAAATAATTTATTAAAGTTTGCTGGAAACTGCATACAACAACAAAATGCTTTGAATTGAGTTGAAAATTATAAAAAATTAACTTAGATCAAACTTCTCACTTAAAAGGTAGTTTTTACTTTTGAAATAAAACATAATACAAAATAATATTGTAAATTTTTATAAGATTGTAAAAAGCAAAGATGGTAAATACTCCAGTCACTTGGTCTGGTTCTTATTTAACTAATGAAAAGTGCTGCAACAATGCCCTTTCCAATTCAATTGATGTGGGTAAAATCATCATTAATCCATTTAAGAGAAGACAAATGTTGTGTGTTTTTATATCTGTAGCCTGGAAGATTTCTAGTTTATTTTTGAGATTGTAGTACTTCTTTTGCTCTCTAGTATTCTTGATTTGTTTACTTCGGCTGCTTTAATAGCGGCATCCAGCTTATAGATCGATAATTTGGCAATTCGTTTGGCTTTAATAGTAGGGTTTATAAAGAAAAACTTCATACTCACAGACTTCGTACTCGTTTGTATCATTGCCCAGTTTGCACCACCTGCCGTTACGCGTTTATTGAAGCTACTGGGCATGGTTAAAACTTAAAACAGCGTAAGCACAATTATTCCAGATATTACAGGTTTCGACAAGTAAAGAATTTTCATAGTCCTGCCACAAATAACCTATATATTGATTACTGACCATTTGTGACATGCTATACCGAGCAAAAATTTAAAAAAAAACACTAATAGGTAGGCTTAAAATTAATAAATACAAATGTATTCTGACAGTGAATGAGTTAATGCTTTCTATTTGCAAAATTCCTCAACCTTAACACAAAATAAAAAAAAAGTGAATTTTTAAGAAATTTGCGGGATTTCCTGAATTAAGAAAAATTTCCCGAAATATTTTTTGGATTAAAAAAACAACCGGGATCCCGAAATCCCGTTTGAGAAACCATAGTGTCACCCAAACCACTACTACTGCTCCCACAGTCTTTAAAATGCTACTGAAAAAAGTGATTGCTATTGTGAGGGACGAACAAACCCTTAATA